TTTTTTTTTTTTTTTTTTTTTTTTTTTTTTTTTTTTTTTTTTTTTTTTTTTTTTTTTTTTTTTTTTTTTTTTTTTTTTTTTTTTTTTTTTTTGCATGCAAATAAGAACTAGATTGGTTGAAAATATTTACTCCAAAATACTAACCAATCAGCTTCCCTAAGATACTCTCGCTAAATCCAGTTAGTCGATTTGAATTCATTCAAGCTAATGAAGCATTTTTGTTGCATTCGATTCACATGCGCGATTGAAACTTTATACGGTTTGTGCATGCGCGAGAAGTTCATCTTGCGTATAGTTTCTAAACATTCACAACCACATGTAGAGCAATCGCATGAAATGTGAATGCTCCCTTAGGTCACTTTCTCTACGATTTTTAGAACCACATTTTTTTTCTCGGCGGTAATCAGAGGTGCAGTAGCCACTTTCTTATCAACCGCATCTCCGAATTCGCAGTCACAACTTTTTTGTATACAGCATGAATGGTTCTTTTCCCTAAATTCCTTCTATGGCGCTCGGATGTTCGTGAACTGCATACAGTGAGAATGGCCATTAAATTATCACGCGTTGCACATTATTTTAGCAAATGGTAGGTACTTTATTTGGGTCGCACTAGGGTTGCACAATGGGCTATGAGCAACGGTCTTGGAAACATCCCTGAGGATGATCCAACAGCATCACAATTTTTATCCTCAGCAGAGGAGATGGCTTTTAGTAGCCCGACGACTTGCTTTGAAGTCGAGCACTTTAAGGTAGACATGTTTAACGACGACCGATGCCGGGCACAATCGGTCTCTGCGCAGGCTGATCAAAGTGGTTACCCACCCGCCTACTGACCGCAACCAGTGTCTTCGGTATTCTACTGGGAATCATGTTCTCTCAACTTATGTATTTTACAACAGTTAGGTTCTCGTTCGCTTCTCTAGCAAATGGATAAGGATGAATTATGTACAACACACGAACAGCTCATATTGCTCCCGATTCCTCTTACGCACTTGTGAATTTTTAGGGACAATTCACCTGGTACCCGATTACCTTAAAACCCCATACAAATGCTTAGAAGCCACAATAAACTAAACGATTTTTCCATGTTCGGAGAGGCAAACGGGAACCTAACTGTTGTAAAGTACATTTACGAGCGAAAACTCCTCAATTCAGGTTCACACTCGCATCTGCGAATTCGCTAATGCGACTTTTTTTTCTCATACAGCGTGAATGGCACATACTCTTTCCTTTTTTTCCTGGCATGTATCTTCTTAATGGTAAGCTGCCCTCTTAATGGCAACAAGTTCAACAGCAAGATCGTCATCAGACGGAAAAATCGGAAGAGGGTAGTAAACAAACTTTTGTTTCTGGTTTTGTAAGGAGTTATATTTCCATGTGAAAACAATTTTTTCTTCCATTTGCTATACTAACTTAACGTAAGAATTTTTTATTCTTTCAACTTCTGTTTAATTAGTAATTATCTTTAGGTTATTAATTACCTAAGATGACACAGCAATAAGTCATTCTTATTAGTAACCTTCAAATCTTTATTTTGTAAGCTTTTTCCCAATATTTTATGAAATTAAGTCAAAATCAATTTATTATTTCTCGTTTGTTATCAGTATTATTAACATTTTGTAATTTATATTTTTAAACTTGTTTTACTCATAGAGCTATTAAAAAATTAAACTAGCAAGATTCCGGTCTTTCAATTCAACTATCATCAATTATTTATATTTTACATTAAGTCTTATATACAGTCTTAAATGCGTTTTATTTATTTATTAATTAATTAATTTTTTTTGCTTACTTAACTTTAAAAATTTGCTTTCAGATCAGGCTGTCGCATTAGTTTAATAACATAATTTTTATAAAGAAAAAACTCGCTTTGAGTTAACATTCTTATATTAAGTCTCCAGTTTTTTAAAAAAATTTAAATTTCTAGCATTAATAAAATTTAGAGTAAAGACACATTACTCCAAAACTTATTTTAGCAAAATTTATTGCAACTGCCTGATTGTTTTTTGCTGACATTTATGCATTTAAAATATGAGAGAATGACATTTGTAAATGATGGAATTGCCCCATCCCCAAGTTAGCCATTTTTATATTTTACTTCAATTTGTCCAAGTTAAACAAGCAATTTTATTTGGTGCCTTGTAAATTTCAGTTGCTGCCAATATAGAGACCCATTAGTGACATTGCCGCCGAACGGTAGTGTTCTTGCAGAAAGATTTTTCCTTTGGTAAATAAAAAATTTTGGTTTTCTTTTTTGCAAAAAGTTTCGAAATATTTTATTTTTTCTTAAGAATTGTATTCAAAAGATGTCTTCCTCGCACTTTGAAGTGGGTTAAAAAATGCTTGTTATTTTTCTATTCTTATATGAGAATAATGAAGTAAAAAATTTGGTTTTCTTCTCTGTTAAACTTTTCGTTCTATTTTTTCATGCAGTTATTACTACTGATTTTCACATAGCCTTAAAAATCCTATATTTTTAGCACAATATTATTTTCTACAACAACTGAATCTCGAAATGAAAACACGGATTTAGTAACGTAACCCCTTTTTGAAGAGTCAGATTTGCTTGATTTCGCTGTTGATCTTCTTTTTCGGTAATTACTGCTACAGATTTCAGAATTTATTTATTATTATTTTTTTTTTTTAAGGTGATGATGAATTACGAAATGCGAAAATCGAAATAATTATAGTGTTATCTTTCTACAAAATGCGAGAATATCCCCCATAATATAAGAATAAAAATATATTACATATTTAATTTTTAAAAGAAAAACAAGATTTTATTTGATCCGATTTTTTTATTTTTTGTTGAAGTTAACGCTTCTATTACTTTAAATTAGTTGTTATATTAGTTGTTTAATTAGTTATTATATTTGTGTTTCTTAAATATCTTGCAGAAAGATATTAATATTTGAGAGGTATGTTACAGAAAGCCCAAAAAAATTCTGCCACAGGGTATAGAGATATCTACTGTCTGTAATGCAGTTGTGCAAATGAATTTTTTTAACGCTCTTGTCAGTAAATTCAACCTATATAACTTTAATACTTAAATCAATGGAAATCTGTGACTTATTTTTTGACTCATTAAAAATTCTATTGATGAATGTTTAGAATTTAGATAAAAAAACAAGGGTGTAGTGGAATTTTTTATTTTCTTTGGTTTTTTGAAAAAAATCTAAGTTTTTTGGATTATTTTTGCTGTTTTTTAAAAAATATTTTAAACTTTTTAATTTTATTTATTTTTTTAAGTTACTTAAAATAAAAATGGGTATTATTTCTTTATGCAGGCATGTTTAACATAGAATAAAATACAAACGTAAAATAAAATGCAGCCACCTACCAAAGATACTTATCATGTTCCCAATCACACTTTTTGGCCCAAATAACTGCATCAATCTAAAATTAGAAAATTTTTAACCCAATTCAGCTAGAAACATAAATTTATGTAAAAAATCTATGTGTTAATTTTAAAATATGTAACTAAAAAAAAATTAGAATTTTTCTCTTATAAAAACTTTACCACTACATACTAGTTTTTAAAAATATCATTGAGCAACTTAACAATGGGTTGCATTTTACAATGAATTTAGTGAGGTATTTTTGGTATTACAAATTACTTATTTTAATTATGTAACTCTTTGCATCTAATAGTCCTTAAACCTAGATAACTGAACTTAAATCTATGTTAATCTTTAACTATTCATTTGACTTATAGATTATTAAAAACAAATATATTTTTTATATTCCTTTATTTTAAATAAATGAGTGTAACTTGTAAAATGTATTATAAAATTTCGATTAAAAAGTAGAAATGCGTTAAAAATTATCGTTTGTACTCTTGGCAGAAGTTAAAATTGTGCCCTACACAAATAGCTCTGTTGCAGTAGTTGCATATGTATCTTGTCATTCTATGTTTTATTGACGATAGAAAGTATAAATTCTGTGTTTGTTCATTGCAATTTTAACTGCAGGGTTTTCAATATTCAAGATATCTTCATTCTTTATTTTGATATCCCTCAGTGGACTGATCGTAAAGACACCGTTCCTAGTTGTTCACCAAAGTAAAACATCACTGGCTGCGGTCAGTAAGCGGGTGGATGATCACTTTGATCCTAGGGACAGAGGGTGTGCGGTATCAGTCCTTATTAAACTATTCTACCAGAAAGTACTCACCTTCGCCGGGCTACCTAAGCAGGGGAGCCATCCCCTCTGCAGAGGATCAAAATTGTGATATCGTACCATTATCCTCTCGAATGTTTCCCATCCCGTCGCCAATAGCCTCAGCTCTGGTGCAACATAAATAAAATACCTACCTACCTTTATTTTGATGGAACTAAACATTTGACTGTTTGCCATTGGTTTCAGAAAATCTTGAAAAGTAATAAATGTACAGTGCTGCTTCTGCTTATCACCTTTGAATAACTCCTCTTACTAGTTTTGAAGGTAACTGTGAGTGAGGTAGTGTGAAAGCAGTGGCAACATCTCCAATTTAATACAGGGTTCATTAGTCTATTAGAGACGAATATTTAGTTATTTAGGGTTAAAACTAAATCATGTTGTTCTGCAGAAGAGGCATAAAAGAGGTAATAAGCTTTGTGTTGTATATTCTGTAACCAAGTTAAAAAGAAAGAATGATACCTACATCTTGTATTTAAACATGAATTTATGAGGTCATTTTTTCTTTCTTTTATCTATCAGAGATATATGGGTTCCCTTCTTATAATTAAGTTTACCCTATTCAAATCCGTGGCTTCTTTATTTGAAGCCATAAATTAGTAGCACAGTTGATGTAAAATTGAAAATCACAAATTCTATGCTGATAATGAAAATTAATGAATTAAAACTTGTTAAAATTACTTTTTACCCACTAAATAGTGTATACTAAACTGATTTGTTAAACTATTGGTTCTGCAATTCTGCAATGTTTGTTCTGCAATTTTTATTTGATATGTTATTTATTGCATAAAAAGAAATCCGTCGTTTTTCGTAATCTACTGACATGATAGAATTGGTTATCCTAATATCAGCAGTGGTTTTTCTTGTACGCCGAATATCCTCATAGCTATTGTTGACTCATTCTTTCCTCCAAAAGTATTCTAAATTTTAACATTATTTAACTGTAGATTAATAAACAAGTCAGCTAAACAGACTGACTTGATTAGGTTTTAGACATTTCAGACATTTTTTTTAAAGTTAAATTCTTATTCTTTTAAATCTTTGCAGAATGCATTTATTCATGTAAAGTCTGAAATAGAAATTTATGCTACTATGAGCACAATAATTTAATTTTCAAAAGTTCACCGAGTTTTGAAATAAAAAAGAGTGGGAAAAAGTTNGCCGAATATCCTCATAGCTATTGTTGACTCATTCTTTCCTCCAAAAGTATTCTAAATTTTAACATTATTTAACTGTAGATTAATAAACAAGTCAGCTAAACAGACTGACTTGATTAGGTTTTAGACATTTCAGACATTTTTTTTAAAGTTAAATTCTTATTCTTTTAAATCTTTGCAGAATGCATTTATTCATGTTAAGTCTGAAATAGAAATTTATGCTACTATGAGCACAATAATTTAATTTTCAAAAGTGCACCGAGTTTTGAAATAAAAAAGAGTGGGAAAAAGTTCTTAAATGTTCGTCTGCCTTCTTTAAAAATACTGCAGTGACATATTATCTCATATTTACTTTATTGTAGGAAAATTGATGCGTAGATTGTGGTTATTATGAAGTATTTATCAGAGCTCGGGGATGAAAACTCAATAATATTTAATAATTTTTCACTTGGGACACTAATTTACTGCCACTGCATAAAATTTATTTTAAAGAGTACATTAACAAAAGTTTTTGTTTAAAAGTTTTTATTTTATTCTGTAATTTAATCCTTTTTTTTACATTTTAACGCTCCTATGACAAAATACGGAATTGCTTAATTGCTCTTGCACTATGAATATAACTTATGTTGATAGCTTTTTCAGGAAAAAAATGTATTAAAATGGCATTCAAACACAGATAATTGCAATTACTTTATTCTAGGCTTGCTTCTATAGCTTACAACTTGTTTATTGTTGTTACTCTCTTATGTTTTTTCTTAATACTGCATTTATTCGTAATTTTGTTTTCTTTCAGGATAAGAAATGGAATCTGCAGACAAAGATTCAAAACCAGAGAAGGAAGAAGATCTCAGCAAGCTATTAGACAGCTGTTTAGATGATTTCAACAAAACAATGCCGAAAGCCAGTGCAGCTAGTAAACAAAATACCACTGCTGGTGCGACAGCAGCATCCAATGCACCCAGTGGTGCTAGTGATGCTTCTGGTCTTGAAGCAACTTGGACAGAAGAATTTAAGCAGTTCAATAAAATGATGGAGACCTACATGGATGATGAGGGAGAAGTAGGTGACATGAAAAAGTGGATGGAGTCTCTTTCTGGTGGCCAGAACACTCCTTTTGATTCTGATGAATTTGCCAGAACTTTTACCGACACCCTTAAAGAACTCACTGAGCAAGCTCAAAATATACCTGAAACAAATCCAGAAGACTTGGCCAATTTATTGGGGGGTCTTGATTTGGGTGGTGCATCTGGTGGTGGTGGTGATCAGCTCTCTGATGTGATGCCACTCATGCAAAATGTTATGCAAAAACTTATGTCCAAGGAACTGCTCTATCCATCCATCAAAGAAATTGTCGAAAAGTATCCTGATTGGTTAAAAGAAAAGCAACCCACATTATCCCAAAGCGATTATGATAATTATAAGAAACAATATGATCTTATGCTTAAGGTGTGTGAGGAGTTTGAAAAAGAAACAGTCGATACGGAGGCCTCTAAAAAAGAACAGTTTGAGAAAGTATTGCAGCTAATGCAACAGATCCAAAATTATGGTAATCCTCCCAAAGAGCTTGTGTCCAGTGTTGGATCTGTACCTTTAGATGAACAGGGTAATTTACAAATACCTGGATTACCACAGCAATGCTCTGTAATGTGAAATCTATTTATTTTGTATATACCATTTCAAGTTAAATTTGCTGTCCTTTGGATAATATCCTGATCATTATATTGATTTTTGTTTTAATTAAGGTTTATAAGAAATAAAATATTTTGTAATCATTTTTCTCTCCCTATTTACTTACAAATACTGTGATTGATGAATTGTTTTGTTAATCTTAAATTTTGTTTGCATACAAATAATTTTTATTAATGTGAGTTTATTTTGATAGCTGTAAAAAGAGCTATTTAAATCATATACTTTTCATGTTTTTGTTTTTAAAATGCAATCAATTAAGGAACATTTTTTAATTAGATTTTTCCATTTGGTATGCTGAATGATTTCTTATACCATTTAGTGCAGCCTATAAATTTTAAGGATGGTTTTATTTCAATCAAATATCCCACAAGACTATAAAAATTGCTAGTCTCATGTTCTATTTCATCATATTCCAATTTATTTTTAGTGTTTTTAAAAGTTTTTTTAAATATGATTTTACGTAAATGATAATTTTGGTCTCAATATGTTAAAACAACTTTTCATAACAAAGAGTAGTGAACGTGTATTAGTATAAAATTGATATGTATACAGCTTTGAAAGTGCACAATATTCTAAATATATTTTTGAAAATAACACTTTATATTACTCTGGGAAATGGAATTATGAATTTATCAAACGTATTAGAATTTAAATTTTTTTATTTATCTTTATTTGTATTTGCAATATATGTTTTATTAATACCTATTCAATACAAAATCACAATTTAAAATCTATATAGCACATTATGCTTCGCTCATTTAAAAAAATATATATATTTTTAGAATAATAAAGACTTAAAACCATATATTCTGGTAAATTTAGACTGAAGGTATTGTTTTCCACTGATAGAAACAGTTTCGCATTCAATATTTGCTCATATAAAGACAGTCATACTTCTGAATTGATTTTGATTTTACAGCTAATAATCTTGTAATTATGTACAAATAATAGCTAAACTAAAATGTTTATTTATATTAAATATTTTTTATTTTCTATACCAGAGTTGAGAAAATTAGTTATTTGGTATTTTGTAATTTTTGCCGTCCACTGATTGAAAATGATTAACTTTTTAAACTTGGCAAAAGTGTATTTTATTTATTTTTTATGGGGAAAAAAAAGACTACTTGTTCAAATTTATAAAAGAAAATTTATAAGAAATCAAGTTCAAATTTATAAGAAGATATATCTTTGTAATAATTGGAATTCTCACATTAGTTCACTTATTTTTTTTTTATTTGCTTGTCATCAACTACATAAATGTTATATTTTAGAAATTATGATTCAAAATCTATTTTTCTTCACGTTAAAAAGTTTTAGAATTCATTTTGCTAGCTAAATAACTGAAAACTAAAATTCCTTATTGAAATTAGCAGTGCCGTAGCGAGCTTAACTCGCGCCCGGGGCACAATACCTTTTTAGCGCCCCCCCACCCCCTCATTCGAAAACCATCTAATATTATAAGTAAAATATTCTCGCAAAGTAATAAATAAATAAAGTAAAATAAATAAAGTCATAGGTTCAAGCTTGGTATTAAATTTGAGACAAAAAATGTAGTTGAGAAAACAAGACTAGATTTTGAAATGTATATGATCATTTAGAATTAGTTCAAAAGATACCTATTATTTATTTTACATATTTATAAAGAAATATTTTAAAAACACGCAGCTTTAAAACAATTAAAAAGTAAATATTTATTATCTCTAAGGAGATACATATATTTAATAATATGATTATAATACATTAATGAAGCTAATAACTATATATAAATTTCCGCTTTTGATTAAGCAAATTTATTAATAATATCATCAAAGTTGATCATTTCAAATTTTTTCATACCCTATTCACTGAATAATAGAATCGTCGAGTAGATGTAGTAAGTAATCTTATTTGTTTTATTACTAACCAAGAATGCCTTGAACTTGAAAGGTAGCAACACAGAGAAATATACACTATAATTTATGCTAACATTAAACTTATAACATTTAATAACATTTCATTTTTATTCTAAGCAGAGCGCGATGACAAGGACCCAAAACTGAAAAATACAGGCACAAAATAACTTAAACGTTAATATTTCGGGTATTTACCTAACTTGTAGCGGAATTCCACAACCTGTCGCAAGTGTCACGGATAAGTACAGTCACTAAAAAAAGTATCCGGAAAGAAACAAATAAAGAATCATTTATTTTTTGAAACAGATATTTCTCAGGTACACAACAAATACGGCGTTTGCAGGGGTAGAAGTCCTCCTATATTTCCTATTTTTCCTATATTTTTACAAAAAGCTAAGAAAGCCTCCTATTTTTCCTTTATTTCCTATATTTTTCAAAATTGGCCTATATTTTTTCCCTCTAATATTTTTTTTTTACTATAGAAGACACAATTTTCTAGATTTTTCTTTCCTCAAATAGTCATGATCATTTTAAAATTCACTTGTCCTCAATACTGCTTAATGACAATGGGTAAGTGAACACATAGTGTTCTCCCCCCTTCGCTATCTCTTGTTTTAGTGCTTTCTAAGCTTATACTACTTTCTATGACTTTTTTTTTCTGAGTAGATGGCAAACTAAATTATGTTAATATTTTGCTTCAAAATGTTGACTTTCAATTAGATTATTTAAGTTTTTATTTTATTATGTTTGATTAATTTGTTTTTATATTTATTGTGTTTAATCTGTTTAATTTATAAGTACAAGTAGAAGATGCCAAATCATTTGACACGATTTCGTGATGATTGGCTTGATTTAGAGGATAAAAACAATGGTCAAAAAGTTTAGGACTGGTACCAAAAAAGGTAAAGATGATTATAATGCCTACTGTACTGTTTGTCTGGCTACTGTAAACATAAGTAATAGTGGCAAAATTCAGCTTTTGCAGCATTCAAGCTCTAGAAAACGTAAAAAGACTTTTAATGAGAAAAAGGATACTTCTCAAAAGCGTCTAGTAATTGCTGCTGGCAATAGTGTTTGTTTGGAGCCAGGAGCCAGCTCTACTGAATCAAAAAAAGTATGGGCTCTTACTTCTGAAGACAAAATATTGCAATCTGAAATTATATGGACAATCCATGTTGCCCTGAAAAATTATTCCTTTTTTGTCGCAGGATGCTATAAAAGAAGTATTTTCATCTGTCTTCCCAGACTCAAATTTGTGCACTAGGATGACCTTATGTTCCTTATCACACATATATATAGGTGATATAGGTGTGACTTGGTCCTTACTTTTTGAAGCAAATCACCAACGAATTCAAGAGAGAAAAACCTTATTACTCATTAATGTTTGACGAGACCCTTAATGAGCAAAACTTGAAACAACTTGATGTGCACATTCGATATTGGTGCTCTTGTGATGGTGGTATATCCGAGAGATACTTGGGTTCAGAATTGTTGGGGCATGCAACTGCTCTCAACATTTTTAATGCAATATAATCAATTCTAAATTCTTGTGAAATAGATTTAAAGCATATAGTGATGCTTGGGTCTGATGGGCCGAATGTTAATAAATGTGTTTTTCAACTATTCGACAAAGAAGTTAGAGATTGGGAAGTATGGATTAATAAATGTGGGCACATGTAATTTACATGTTATTCATAATGCCCTTGGAAAAGGTTTAGCTATTGAAGAATTTGGGAATATTATTGACTGTTTGGAAAACATTTATTCATGGTTTTCCTAATTTCCTTCCAGGAAAGAGGATCTCAAAAAGGAAAATGATAATTTTGGTTGTGAATATTCTAAAGTGTTGCGATACGTGAGCAACAGATGGCTTTCTGTTGTTACTGTCTGCGAAAGAATCCTGCATCTTTTGCCTTCTTTAGAGGAGTGTTTTATAGAAGATCTACCTAAAAAGAAAAGTAGTTTGGTAAAGCTTTATAGATTTCCAAGCATTAAAAAAGTCTTAGAAGATCCTTTATTATCAGCTTATTTACATTTCCTTATCAGTGTTGGATCAATTTTTGATAATATTTTAAAGCTATTACATAAAAAAAAACTCATTGATTCACACTTTATACAATGAGTTAAGTGATTTGATAATAAAAGTCATGCGACGCCAATCACCATTCAACTGCGGAAAATTGTTTATATAATTTTTTTTTATCAAATTTTTTATAGTGTTTTATAATTAAGTTTTAAAGTTATTCATATATGATCCATGCTTTTCAATTTAATTTAGATCTTTTTTGCCCTATTTTTTATTCCAGAAAATCCTATATTTTTTTCCTAGAAAATCCTATATTTTTTTCAAAACAATCCTATTTTTTTCTCATTGGTCACTTCTACCCCTGCGTTTGTGTCCTTTCCTGGAAACAGCAAAACGCTGTATTTGTTGTGTGTCTGAGAAGTATCTATATTAAAAAATAGACAATCTTTTAGTTGTTATTTTCGGATACTTTTTTCCGTGACTGTACATATAAGTACATTAGAGTGCTATTGTTATCGTTTTAAAATAACAAGCGTAAGCTACATTGCGTTTATAGAAACAAAAATAAATAGTGTTCTGAAAGAAAGAATGTTTGTACTTTGTACACTGTACAAACATACAAACACTTTGTACACTGATGTTTGTACTTTGCACACTGCAAATATTTGGAGGAGATAATATATGTAACCACACAGCGTAGATGCCATAAGGAAGTGCTGATAGACACAGGTCGAGTCAGCCCAGAGGAAAAGACGTGTCATTTCTATTATGAATATATTATTACAGTTTGATTAGTGTTATTTTTTATATACGAATTAACATTTATTATATTTCACCGGCACTAAATTTAAAATATATTTTCCAGAAATAAATTATAATAAAAATAAGAATTATCCAACAATTTTTTTTGTTTTGCTGACCATTTGGCGCCCCTTTGTGTGCAGCGCCCGGGGCATTATGCCCCCCCTTGCTCCCCCCTCGCTACGCCACTGGAAATTAGTTTTGTACACATTGTCTTTACTTGCTGTATTTTAATTTATTAATGTAGTTAAAAGTAAGAATGTTTGATTTGTTGCAATGGCATAAAAATCCTTCATCCCTCTTGTGCATGAATTTTTCTTTTGAGTTATAAAAAATATTTACCTAGATACGCCATGATACAAAT